GTAATTTATGTTGGATTTTTTGTATACATTAGAAAAATATTCACAATATTTATTTACTATATCTAATGGTTTATCATAATAAGTATTATTATAATAAACATTGTTTGGAATTCTAGATACTCCTTTCTTAGACTGGATAAAAGACCAAAATTGATTGGGATTATGATTTTTATTATTCTCAGTTTCAAATATATATATATATATATATATATATATATATATATGTTGTAACGGTCTGTTTCTTTTAAATTCAATTGGGTTCGGTTACCAAGTAAAGTTCAGTCATTTGCTGTGTTTGGGCTTTATTTTATAAGGTGTACTGTGTTTATGAACAATTTAATATGTTTTTTGTTAAGATTTAATTTTTATTATGTATAATTTTTATTTGAATTTAAATAACCATTGTAACTTGTAATTGTACGGACTGCACAGTCTGCCACTTTACAAACTAAAATTTACTAAGATAGTCAGCCATTTGGAATTTGATTTTGTTTCGGCACACTTGATGTGAATTAAATTGCCCCAAATTCTAAAATATTTTGTCAATCAATTGTTGAAAATTGTGTAAAAAGGCTCAAATCTTGTGGGTAAGTTCAGCTGTACATTACAATTCGCATATTTTTCTACAATTCTTTGTATTTTCCATTATTAGGCCTTTTTAGCCACTTTGTTAATTTTTTGGGTTGTATTTGCCTAATTGGTAAAGTTGTTGGGCTTGTTTGGTTATTGGAAGCACTCTGGGATATAGCTTGGATACCCTTAGAAAGTCGTGCATTAATTACAAAATTTATAAGAGGGAATTTGATTTGGAGTGAGAACTTGCCAAAATTACCTGGTTTCCTGGATTGTATGGTGGAATGTAGTAACGAACATCCCATATGTTCCAGTGACAGAATTGGAGTGTTACAGCTAGAAATTACCACCAAGTAAGCCTTAGCCTAAAACAAATTTTGTAAAATCCACATTTTGTAGCCTAATGTTAGAAATAATGAAGACGTACCTTGTGTAACAGACATTTGATTAAGTTAACCATATTTAGGGCCTTAATTTAGTTGTACACCATATTTTAAGGTAAAATTAACGTTGATTTAAGTTGTTTTGATTCTGTCAATTATCAGTCATCAGCTGTTGCGTCAGACGCATGCGCTGCAAGCAATCGAAATAATCCACAGTGCGACGAGTTGATAAATATCACTCGCACAGTGCAAGGCATGTTATAAATTTTTAAGAATAATCCTTACAATAATAGTTATTAATAAATTGACATTGTTAAAGTTGCAAACTAGTGTTATTGTGAAATTATTTTACCCTGACTACCTGATGAATTTGTCGCAACTGGCGCCCCTAACTCAAGATTTTCGTTCGTACTTGCCTGAACCCCGACCTAGCGTCGACAAATAAGAGTTGCCGAGGTAAGTGCGCTATTTTTTTATTTATTTAGAAAGTTTAGCGTTACAATGTATAAGAAAAAAATCTAAGGATTTTGACTTTTGAATAAAAATGTATTGCACAAGCAGTAGAGGTAAAACAAATATACCTAAGCAAAAAATTTTCCTCCGGCGGTGAGCCTGCAGCGGGCTGCGTTATAGAAAAAGAACCGTTATTGCCTGCCATCCCTATATTATAATATATTTAACTGAATCAATGGCTCCCCTTATTAAAAAGCCTGCGCACGCCTATGCTCCTTTGTGGTTTAGATGACTCTGTTGTATCTTGTTTTGCAAAAGATTATTTATAATCCGCAGCTGTAATCATTGCACTGGTTATATGCCTTTCTTTGATTTCGCTTAATGCAGAAGGCCTCCCAAAAACATCAGAATACTTCCCTCTTTATGGCGAAGTAAGATGGCGTCCGAAGTGGATATCGTCTTTCTTAGTAACAGCCTTAAACGATTAAATATATGTCTGAAGAAACTCAAGATAAATTAAGAAATATAGTGAATTTACACTTTTAGTTTGGATCTAACCTTAAAATGAAAAAACATGAAGAACTTGAACATGGTAACATGGAGACTGAAAACAAACTGCAATCCCTACTGATTAAACAAATGGAAGGTAGGATAAATAAACAAATATATTTAATTGAATTACTTAAAAATAACCTGGAAACCATAAAAAATAATGATGAAAAATTAAAATCCGAACCTCCTTCGTTTGCTATTATTACTAAGAAAAAGAAACCTACTACGCCAAGCTTAGTAGTTCAACACCTTGACCCAGAGGTGGCGGAAAATAATCAAATGCCAACGCTGTCACAAACATCCCAAGGTCACAGTCCACAAGGTGAAAACATAACCAAGTGATGGGTCCAACCAGCACATTCTTGTGTGCTAGCACACGTTGCACAGCACACTACAGTGTGCGGCATTGTGTGTGTCGTACATTTGTGCGGGGTGGGGGAAAATGATTCAAATTGAGAATCTTTCACGTTGCACAGCTCAGCACAAAACTTTTAATTATATAAAATAGTTTCTCTACAACTTGTGACCACATACTTCGACACATATACAAATCATTTCTAACTGAGACTGTTTCCATTTCGTGGGGGTAAAGTAGGGGAAATGTTCTCACACGGTAGCGGGCATTGAGGCGCATGCGTCAGCTGCATTGCCGGTTTAAAAAAAATAACATATTTTTGTCCCTATTTAAGAAGTATAATAAATACTTTTTAATAAATTATATATAAATTGTATGAAAAAAAACATTTAACAATAATAAACTCACAAAATGATGATATTTTAGATTTTATAATGGCATATTTAAAAAAGCAAAAATTTGGCAACATCGTATTTTGATTACGATTGTAGCTACTCTATGACTTAAAGTTTAAACAAAGAAGGACCGTTGTGCTTTAATCTATAACTTTGGGACTTACCATGTTTTGCTGCTCTTTCTTCATGCCAGCTGGCTGGTAGTACGCTACAGCCCCTTAGTTTGACCAAAACACGAAATTGATAGTATTTTTTGTTCGTGCAACTGTAGTAATTCAAGAACTGGTGTCAACGTTTTTGATATTTGCAGTTTTTAACTTGTCTAAACTAATATAACGATAACTAAGCAAACAGCTAATAGCGAAAAAACCATATCGACCACGCGTCTCGATATTCGTAGCGCGTCTCTGCGTACCTTTTGTTACGACCTTGTTTTTTTTTGTTTTCCCTAAGAAATAAAATATTTGCTATACCGTGCTGAATCAAGACAAATTTAAATTAATAAAAATAAACAAAACTGAACATTCTCCCCTTCATGAAAGGATCTACTCCTTTTATTATAACCGAAAAAAAGAAAAATTCTTCAATGTATTAATTGGAAACAGCACAAACATAAATTGTAATTTAAACTATCGCGTAGGCAAGAGACACAGCTTTACTAGAGGACGCTTAAATAGGCCCTGTTTTGTACGTACTGTTGCCACTCTGTTGACATTATCGGACCCTGGATGGAGTTCCCGGACTCTATCAAGAAGCCACTTACCTGGAGGTAAGTTTTCATTTTTGATAACAACCAAAGACCCCTCTGCAATTTCCAAGTCAGGCTTAAACCACTTTGTACGTGACTGAAGGGTTTGCAAATATTCCTTATGCCAGCGGCGCCAAACGGACTGGTGAAAGTTTTGCACCAACTGCCAACGAGACAAACGATTTAAGGTGATGGTGCTTAAATCCTCATCCGGAGGAGCGGACACTGGTTCCATAATAAGAAAATGATTCGGCGTGAGAGCCATCATCGGTCGAGAATTTAAGACCATTTCAGCGTTGCCACACTGAAATTATCAATTACCCACGCCACTATGACAGAATACCCGGTTTTACCCCCACTTTAACATGAAAATCCCCATTAAAATTACCCGTCCGAATACGTGGCTTGTTTTAAAAAAAAAGGTCAAATTTTTATTAATAGTAAATAGGTAGGTATTAGCCTAATACTATTAGGTATGAACTTTATTAATACATAGATATGCTTACTTTATTAATAAATAGTAGATGAACCTCCTCTCAGGGATTAAGTACTTTATTTTTTCCGTAAATTACAATTTAACATTTTGTTTGATGGTTCAAATCTGACAGGACCTCCTGCCTCTTGGACCCCCTCTTTTGTGGGTAATAATGCGGCGATTCTGTAGGTGTTCAGTCTGTTTCTGTTATAAATAAAATACCCGTTGACTGTCAAATTAACGTCAAGGACATGCGCAATATAAAATAAAGACGTATAGCGCCATCTATTAGGTAACTGTATAAACCCAGTCAACAAAATGGTCACAATGAACTTTGACATTTTCATTTTCGCAGAAATAGCGTAGGTCGAATGGTTGAATTTTAATTTTAAAGTTTTATTTTTTACTGTTGCTTCTACAATTTTTATTTTTGCAAATTTGGGTTAAAGGGTTAAAATTTCCGGTTTTACCCGTTTAATTATTTTACCCGGCACATACTCCAAAATACCCGAATTTTGGGTAAAATACCCGGCAACGGCAACGCTGGACCATTTCTATTTGGGTTAGAAGAAGAAGAAGAAGAAGAAGAAGAGAGAGAGGGGGAGACCCCTAAAGTAAGAATTGCCACGATGCTGTCATCCGCGTAAAGGAACACGAGTGACAACAACATAACAAATCTTACAACCCCAAGCCCATGCCATACCTCTCTCTCATCTTCCCAATCCACAAACTTTATTGATATAATTTACATTAAAAGTATATATACAAAATTTTAGTTTTTGAATCAAAATAATTAGTGAAAAGTGTTGTGTTGGTTCTGTATCTAACGTTTGTATTGTAAAGAACTGCAAAAAAAGATTATAAGAAATACATCCAAAGGAGGATTAAATTGTCTGTAAAAATTTAAAAATAGGTTTGGTTTTCGTTGAGACGCGAACCTTCGTATTGCCGGTCGGGTGTTCTTTCGCTGAGCTACTGAGATTTTATACAGAATTGGCATTTTTTAAACTAACTTATTTGGAAATGCCGGACATCTCAAATGAAGATTTATTTAATCTAATTTTAGAAGGCAACAATGCACTAAAGAAGGAATTTCTAGACTTAAAAGCTGAAATTCAAAATAAGGTTTTGATTTTAAAAGAAAAAAACACTGAATTGCAAAACGAAAACAAAGCTCTTAAACAAAAAATTTTGAGTATTGAAAGAAAACAAAAAAAATATAATTTATTAGCCTACGGAGTTAAGGGAAATGAGGAAGAAAATACTCTACAAATACAATGTGATATAAAAGATTTTCGCGATATAAATAGAATTGGGAAAGCATCTAAAAATCAACCTCGACCAGTAGCTATAGAAGTGGTCAATAATAATCTTAAATATAATATTTTAAAAAAATCGGCAGAAAACAAAGAATTAAAAGCCAATAATAGTATAGAGTATACACAGGAAGATTACGAAGAAAGAAAAAAGCTTTACAAATATTTAAAATCTGCAAGGGAGAACAAACTTAATGCAAAAATAAAAAGAAATAGGCTGGTTCTGGATTCTGGAGAATATTCTGCTAACGATCTTGAAAACAACCCTGATCTCTTAAATCTTGAAAAATCATCAGATTTGCAGTCTAACGATCAGGAGGACGGTGATAGGAAACGTAAATCAGAAGATTCGCCATCAAAAGAAACTTTAGCGATTCCAAAAAAAAACCAGAAGCAAGAAAAAATAATTCGAGTTGTTTTGATTTCTAAAATTACTTAAACAGTTAGGTATATGAACAGTTATATGTGTAGTTCCTTACAGTTCACTGGTTGATTTGTTATTGTATTCTAGTTTTTAAAATGAAAAATTTTTCTTTTGCTTATTTTAACGTAAGATCATTAGTAAAAAGTTTTGCAGATTTTAAAAATTTTGTATTGGAGCAGAAATATGACTTTATAGGAATCTGTGAAACTTGGCTTTCACCAGATATTTTAGATGATTTAGTTAATATTCAGGGATACAGTTTTGTAAGATGTGATAGGTGTAGTAGAGGAGGTGGATTTGGACTTTATATCAAGTCAGGATATAGGTTTTCTGTTTTAAATAGACCATTTATTGTTGCTGCTGAGCAAGTTTGGGTTAAAGTAATAATTTTATCCAAAACATATATTGTTGGAACATTGTATAGACCACCCTCCCAAAATATTATTGATTTTATTAACTGTCTTGAGGATGCAGTTTCTGATTATCTTCCAGATACTAATGAGTTAATATGCGGAGGAGTTATTAATATTGACTTATTGGACACTAACAATAAAAATACAATTAAATTTAACCAGTGCATTGATTCGTTTAATCTTAAACAAATAGTCAAATCACCTACTAGAATAACAAAATCAACTGCAACTACATTAGATGTTATAATGGTTCCTGAGAGTTTAAATACGTTTACTTGGGGTACTAAAGAATTAGGTAATTTATCGGACCACCAGTTAGTATATTGTACAGTGAACCTATCTACTTTAAATACAAACTCAAATCAATTTCAAACTAGAAATCTAAAAAATATTGATAGGGACCTTCTACATGGCTTTTTAAATGTTGCTCCGTTTTACAACATACTGTCAATTGAGAACATTGATAACAAAGTAAATTTTTTTAATGAAATCCTAATTAACATATTTGATACTTTAGCACCAATAAAAGTTATTAAAATTACCAAGAAAAAACCACCTTGGTTAACATATGCAATTAAAGTAATGATTAAACTTAAAGATAAAGCCTTCAGCAAATTTAAACATACAAGAAATCAGGTTCATTGGCAGTACTATAAAGATCTAAAAAATCAACTTACATCCTCTATAAAACGTGAAAAAAGCATATCTAGAATACTGTATAAGCAAGTTTAATAATAATAATAATAGTAAGGAGCTATGGAAAAAACTAAAAGACCTTGATATATGTCAAAAACCACCAGTTCGAAATATTCCAGACCACTTGGACATACCTGATAAAATTAATGATTATTTTCTTAAATTTTCCAAAAATACAACAACTAACCAGCAATTAGCAAATTTTTACAATAACACTTTTAAATATAATTTTATTGAGCTATTTTCCTTCTCCTTTGTATCAGAGGATGATGTCAATAAATATCTGTTGGGTATTAAGTCCAAGTGTACAGGTCATGACGATTTAAGTATTGATATGTTGATATTATGTTGCCCTTATATATTACCATACATAACACATATCATTAATACATGTTTTCTCTATTCCACATTTCCAGAAGCCTGGAAGATCTCACGTGTAATTCCGCTACCAAAAAAAGATATTATTACCACATATAATGACTTACGGCCTATTTCTATATTACCTGTTCTTTCTAAACTCCTGGAAAAAATTATGAACTCACAAATTTTAAAGCATGTTAATCATTACGATATTATGCCACCAAGACAGTCTGGATTTAGAAAAGGATTTAGTTGTGCTACTACTTTATTGGACGTTAATGATGATATACTAAAAGACTTGGATCAGGGTAAAACAGTGGCATTGGTGCTTCTAGATTACTCCAAAGCGTTTGATACAATTAATCATAGTACCTTACTGGCTATCCTACATTTTTTGGGATTTTCGTCAAATTCAATAAATATGCTAAAAAGCTATTTACATAATAGATTACAATTTGTACAAACAAGTAGGGGTAAATCTGGAAGGGCCAATATTTGTTGTGGCGTGCCTCAAGGCTCTATACTGGGGCCATTACTCTTTTGTTTGTATACGTGTAATTTAGGCAGTATTTTAAGATTCTGTAAACCATACTTTTATGCTGATGATACCCAGCTCAAATTTTCATCTTATTCGGATAATATCTTGGATGCCAATAAAATAATTAATGATGATCTAACAAGTTTGGTCTTGGAGTCCAAGAAACATAATCTATTAATAAATGCTCAAAAATCAACTATTTTAGTATTTGGTAGGTTTAAGGAAAACTTTCAAAATAGTCTTAAGATAATTGTAGATGAGGATGACTTAAAATGTTCAAGGGAGGCTAAAAATTTGGGTATCATAATGGATACAAATTTAAGATACGAAGGACATATATCTAAATGCATTAAAAAAGCTTATAGTAGTCTAAAAATGCTTTACCCCCATCGTCACATTCTATCCCAGACTTTAAAACTTAAACTAACTGATTCCCTTGTTCTAAGTCACTTTAACTACTGCAATGTTGTGTATGGCCCCTGTCTTGATAAAGTTAATATTAACCGCATTGAAAAAGTACAAAAGTCTTGTCTTCGATATACTTATGGTATAAGGAAATACGATCCTATTTCTTATAAGCTACAAGAATGTAAGTGGCTTAATATGGAAAATAGACGAAAACTGCATGCTGTGACATTTTTTTCAAATATAATTTTATACAAAAGTCCAAAATATCTATACAATAAAATTACTTTTAGAACTGATGTCCATACATTAAACTTGAGACATAAAGGCCTTATATCACCACCTCTTCATAAAACTACTCTATTTAAAGGGTCTTTTACATATAACGTATATGCATTATATAACAAGTTGTCCGATTCATTTAAAACCCTTCAACCTAATAGCCTTAAGTATGCTTATAAAAACTATCTCCTACAAACAGCTCAATCTTAAACAAATACCTTATACATAATATATTTTATGCACGATGACATTATAATATGACAATTATAACAAAAATTCTTTGACGTAAACGTCTTTTTATAGCCCGCGGGCGTTATTATGACCCAGCGGGCTATAATGAAACGTCAAAAATTAAAAACAACAATGTTACACCATTTGATATATTCGAAGTAAGTTTTTTCGTATAAAGATTTTGATTTTTCCGGCAGCAGGCCGCAATTTTTCGCCTTTTCAGCTGCTTCCTCAATTTAATTCATCTTTAAACTTTAAAACTGACTGATGTCAGTTGACATTATAATATGACAATTATAACAAAAATTCTTTGACGTAAACGTCTTTAAAAACAATATATTAAAAATAATAATATATTTATCGTGCATAAAGTTTTGTATGCATTGCTGGCATAATAAGGTTTTTATGGTCCTACGACGCTTTTCTAGCCCTCGCGCTAACGCGCTCGGGCTCGAAATAGCCCCTCGGACCATAAAAACCTTATTATGCCCTTAATACATAAATAACTAATATTAACTAGGTTGTTTATACTCGTATACCACTTTATTTCTACCCTAATGTGTTTTTTGTACGTGTTTGGTGTTTAGTGTTATTTTTTTTTCTTTTTTAAGGACTGGAATTTTTATATCAGTTTTAAACTGCCTTCCAGCTCCTTTTTATTGTCATTAAATAATTATATAGCTGAATTTGTATTTTCTTTTTCTTTTTTTGTAATTATATAGATGAATTTATATATTCTTTTTCTTTTTTGTATTTGACAATAAATAAACCATTTATTATTATTATTATTATTATTATATAACCTTTATATGACGAATATACTCCAAAATAATTGGAAAATAATATTATTATTAAATTTGAAAATGGATCGGTAATGATTTAAGAAGAATATCTATGAGCTGAGATAATAATAATAATAGTAATAATAAAAAGGGCCCCTCTCAAGCTTACACCAATGGTGTCCAAGGTACCAATAAACCTTGGATTGGTAAAAATATTTTTTAATGTAGATACAATGTTGTATTTATAGATAGAAAAATATATTAAAAAAAAAAATGTTAATTTAGTAATAAATAAAAATAAATGAAATTGATTAATTGTAAAGTTGTACAGGTAACGATAAAATAATAGAGTAATTTCGGCATATATAAGCCTAACAAGTATCTTAATTCAAAGTATATAATTAAATAATCACACTGATTAAGAGTAAATATATTCAAATATCAACAGACAATGAAACATAAAATTCATAGGATGGCGATTACAATTATTATTCATTCGGTAGATCATCACATTTAGTAAAAGGTAAAAGAAGACCAGTTAAATTTAAATCTAAAAGTAATTCAAATAATCTTTCATGTGAAATAGGCCAATTCGGCAAAGCATCGATTAGGTCATTTCTTGATAAATCAAATAAAGGACAGTCAAAAATTCTGTGAGTAGGATCATCAATTGTTCCACATACCATACAATATGGGTCATCAGCACCACCACGAAGATGAAAATGTCTTTTAAATCTTCCGTGACCAGAAATAATTGCAGCTAATCCACGAGAATAAGGGATATTAAAATTTTGTCTATTAATTATAGAGGGTAAAAATTTATATGTTAAACGACCTACTGTGCAATCATCCCATATAGTTTGCCAATATTCAATACTTGCAGATTCAATTAGAGTTTTAGCCACTCTTAATTTGGGTAAATTGTTATAATCAGGCCAAGATAAGTTTAAATGTTTAGCAGGAATTTTTCTTCTTAATTTTGATAGGGCAGATCTTTCAGAAAGTGCAATATATAGTGGTTTGACTATTTGGGTTATTAAGGGAGTCATTTCCTCGAAGGTGATAATCTGCTCACCAATAACACGAGAAATGTTCGTTTTAACAGATTTAATTGCTGCCTCCCAAAAGCCACCTATGTGAGGGGCTGCCGGTGGATTGAAATGCCACTTTATGGCCAAACTATCACAAGCTTGTTGAACATATTGTATCAGCATAGTATTGGCACCTACAAAGTTGGTGCCACAATCACAGTATATATCTGAAACCCGACCTCTCCTAGCAACAAATCGGCGAAGAGCAGCCAAAACA